AAAATATATATATATATATATATATATATGTATAAAATAGTAATATATGTAGTGGTAATAGTGAGGCATCAAAATTATATTTTGACCAAATCCAAAATCAAAGATGTCATTTAGCTGAAGACCAAAACCAAAAATAAAGTTTTTATAATTAAATGGGGAACTCGGTGTGCTGTTCATGGTGTTTTGTCATTAGGTAATAGACCAGTCGTAGTAAAGTTCTACAGCAACAAGTCATCTCCCGATATTTCAGAACAATGGTAGTTTAGATTTACATTGGTATTTAAGCATAGTTTTTATTAATAGTAAAGTATATCCACACAGCTGACATGTTTACCTGTTGTAGCTTATCCAAACTGCATGCATGAAAAGACAATGCCAGTTTATGGCTTCGGTCAATGGATTCTGCCCTCCAAATTACTTTGCCTGAAACTATTGCCTGTTTTTTTGTTTGTTTTTTTGGCTTTCTAGGGTGAATATTTACAGTAGCTGAAATTTTTATGTTATAATATGCCAAGTTTTTTACTAAACTAGTTTTATAATGATGTGAAATAGATGGAATACAGCACTGTAAAGCTTTCTAATGAGCCACTCAAAAAAAAAAATCAATTATTTTATTTATAATACCAAATTTTTTTTAAATAACCAGGTATAAAAAAAAGTTTGAATTCTTTGTTAGAATAACACTGTCCTCTTGTTGAGGTCCTGCTTAGGTCTGTGCAATGAAGGCCTCTGTGAAGGAAGCAGATCGCTTACGGCACTGAGTGGTTGCAGATAAGGTTGTGAGGGTGTTTATACAGTTTGTTGTAAACATGATTTACATTGTCCACAGGGAAGCCATCAGCACACAATTCACTCCCAGCAGGATTATGCAGATAAGATGGGATGTAAAAGGGATGCAATGACAACTTAAAAAAAAAAAAAAAAAACTCACATGAAGACATGCCCATTTTCCTTTCCAGCACAATGAAAAGTTGGAATGCCGTTATCAGCGAGATGTAGGTCACCTGAACTTTCAAAACTGCTTTTGATTCACATACGTGTGCTTCAGGACCTCAAAAAACGTGTTTCAAATAAACACATATTTTCGGAAGGGGACCCCACAATTAGTAACTTGAAACTCGCTCTCCGCATGTAGGTCCAATTCTCTGGAATCAATCAAAACTCCCAAAGGAACTCCCTGTTTCCCCCTTAATCTCCTGGTTTTATTACTTTCCAGACAGAGTCTGCCCATTCCACCCAGCCCCCCATTCCTCCCTTTTGTACTGATCTCCAGCAAAGCCTGTGATTTTTTACCACAGCACATTGCTTTTCATGCAGCAGAGCAGCTTTCATCAGCCTCCGCATGCAAGACAGCCCAGCCGCAAACTCCACTACGGCCTGCTCTCACCGCACGTGATCCTAATAAACAAGCTCACGGATCCAAACTAGTGAAAGCATGTTGCCAATACTAATGAAAGAGTTAAATGATGCATCACACAAATTAAATGTGAGCCTTTTCATATTCAATTTGAACAAATGTTATGAATGCACTAACAAAAGATTGATAGATTCCATTTCTTTGCTCTGAAGCGAAATCACAACCACCTTCTCTAAAGGCATATTTACACAGCCGAGTTAAGGCTGCTCTATGCTGGATCCATATTCTGTGCCAGAATACAATGCAATGGCACATAAAACAGTAATATGGTAGCTCTGACCCAGCTCAGTCCCTGTATCAGAGGCGCCTCTGTTGCTGCATTGGCTCTTTGTAAATGAAATGCAATTTTTAACTTTGCTAATGTCATGTCAGAGTTTATATTTAATTATTAATAACAGTTGTTTATTCACAATTTCCTATTTATAAAAGGAATGTTTTAGAAATTATAATCAGGGTAAATACATTTATGTTGCCTACGTGCAGCATTAACCAATCTGTATAAATGCACCTTTAGTTTTCAGGTATATATCTAGCTTCTGTGCTGTCTTTTCAGTGTAAATATTATATGTAAGCAATGGTTTTTGACCCAGGTATATTCTTTTGGGTTTCAAGCAGAGCAAAGTAATTCACTTTCACTCTTCAACCCAGAATTGCACAGCCACCAAAATAAATAGGGCAGATGTTCTTCCCAAAACACATATTTCTCATTTTCTTCCAAGTGTGCAGTGAAAACAAATACCTTATTCGACTTATGCCCTCTGTACAAAAAATATCATGGATTAACCACAAGATATTATGCAAAAGATCTACGACTTCTTACAGAGACAGTGTCTAAGCGCTATGACACTCCAACAGTGCGTGAAAAGCACTGATTTCCACAGACATGAGGTTATTAGCCTATAATTAACGAGACTTAATTTACTTATTTTCCATGAGGCCGGTTTGGCGACTCATTATTTAATAAAGGAATGAGGTTTTCTATTCAGGTGAAAATGTGAAGGTGTTAATGCAGATCACACCTTTGCAGTTAATGAGCCTTTTCAGGGCAAACCTAAAGATTAAAAAGCGATATTACACCTATGTTTTGATTTATGAGTCTGTCTGAACAGAGCGTGTTCGATGAACTGCACAAAATCCTTGCTTTTGTGATAGTTGTACAAGTTATTAAATGTTAGTCACACATAGTCTTACATACATTTTCACACATTTGTCACTTTAACACTAACAGACGGCGGGTCGCACTACAGAAAGTTTTAATGCTCATGAATCTTACCTTTTTCAGCATGTGAAACTGTGATCGTGAGGCAGAAAAGAGAGAGGAGCAGCCGGGCTCCCCGCTCCGCCATCACTTTAAACACAAATAAAAGAAGTGTGAAAAGCCTCGAACTCAATCCGTATTTAAAATCCTTCTGATCGCGCGCACGGATCAGTTCAGCAGTGTGAACACATCCGGAACGAGTTACTTCCGAAAGTTGCCGAAGGAAACATGAAGCTGGTTGAACAGAGGCACGATCAGCCCGAGAAATGCACTTTAAAACTTCAACACGCGACCGAGTAAAATCAAAGTCAATCCATATTTCCGAGATTAAACCAACGCCGAGCTGAACAGGAGCGAAATGAGAGGCGTCAGTGCAGACATAATGTGTAAAGGTGAAGAGAGAGAGAGAGAGAGAGAGAGAGAGAGAGAGAGAGAGAGGTTGGAGATATTTTTTTGCAATGCCAGTCTTTGATTTGATAGCAGCTCCGCTCCTGGGAATAAACGCGAAACTTTCAAACATTCAGAACAGAGGGAAGACCCCAGAGGAGTGACAGAGAGAGCGAGAGAGGGACATGATGGACAGATTTACCCCTCCTTCTCTGACTATCTTCCACTGATCCACTAATACTATGCTAATTACCCACTCCAAACACTGCTGTTCAGTCATACACGGCATAAAGAAGAGTTTAGGCTTTAATGCGTCATGTTACGCTGGGATATTTCGGCTTATTGCACAGCTCTCTGGAATACTTTTTTTGGAAGTAATAAGTGAGAGAGAGAGAGAGAGAGAGAGAGAGAGAGAGAGAACAGCAGGAATTCAGATCGGACCCTGGGAAAACCGGAACTGGATCACAAAGAGATCAGGATTCATCTCACGTGGCCACCCCAAAAGTCTGGAATGGCTTTAAACCTTTTTTTTTCCATCTTGAACATTATTTTAAGTCATTTTATTGGCTTTTTTGAACAATTGAATGCTTTAGTTTAAATTCAAATCCATATGTTTGAAATACCACACACGAGGATCTTCCTGATCCTTGATCTGGCAACCTGTTTTTAAACCTTTTGCTAATATTGTATAGCTTATACTTGTAAAGCTTAACTTAAAACTTTACTTAAAATAACTGACTAAATAAATACACAACATTGAGGAACAAACGTAACAAAACTTTACTTGAAATAATTGGCTAAAAACATTAATTAGCAACATTAAAGGCAGGGTATGTGATTTTTCAAAAACACTTTAGAAAACTGATTCGGGCCGAATAGCAAAACAAACTTGTAGCCAATCAGCAATAAGGGGCGTGTCTACTCGTGATGTGGAGGAGAGAGCTTTCAACATTGGCTACCAGAAATCACTTACTCTGCCTTTAAGGTGGAACAAACATTAAGGCATCCAGCTAGTTGCAAATGCTCAAGTTCTTGGGTAAAAACAAACACATTCAATGTCACAAATTCATATTTCATAGTTTAATTAAAGACTAAAGTTATGTTGGGCCATTGTGCCAAACATTCCCATGGGGATGTTATGTTATGTTGTGCCAACCGTCTCTACTCACACTCTTGTCCTATATGATGTTTGCCAAGTGGCATAATTTATCACAGGCTTCCAAATACTATATCAAAGTGTAACTGGTTCCAGTGCTAGTAGCCAGCATTCATATATTTTAAATATTCTCTCTACATTTTTTTTAGAATATATTTCATGGAAAGACTTTTTTGTTGTTGTTTTGACATATAAAAATGGAAAAGTCTTGAACAACTTGACAGAAGCAATGTGACAAAAATCTTTTCATTCAAGTCTGCCACTGAAAAATGCAACATTTTCAGATCTGCTCTGGAAACACTCACTTGGAAGAGCTCCATCTACTGGCAGATTTACTCAATGAAATGTGGTCCAATGATGGTATAAAATGGTAAAGGTACTGAATGATTACCATGTTCTTGTGCCATTGTGTTACTTCAAGGTACTTGTCTGTAAAACATGTCTGTAAAACATATTATTGCATGATTTTTTGTTGGTGTAGAATTTTCTTCTGACTGATTTCTCCTAATCAGTTTTCTGTTTTGTAAAGGAAGGTGAGTAAATTCCTCAATGAAAATGTTGTGTATGTATTTTCATCCTTTGGGTGTGAACAGGATATTAGAGTCAGTTCTCACATTAACCATGCACTGCTCACCTCAGTAACATTACATCCTTTTTAATCTGCATAAGCAATTATTATTCACCATTTACCTTTAGTGTATTACACATTATGGTAACACTTTACTTGAAGGGGTGTGCATAAGACTGACATGACACCTTCATAATCATGACATGACACATGTCATGAATATGAAGGAGGTTTTATGCATGTTTATGACAACTGTCATTAAGTGTCATTCGCTCAGTTATGTCATTTTTAATGCAAATATGACATTATTTGACCTAACCTAACCCTACCCCTACCCTTACCCCTAACCATAGCCCATAACAAAGACATCTCAAACAATGTCATCTTTGCATTAAAAATTACATAACTGAGCGAATGACAGTTGTCATAAACATGCATAAAAAACCTTCATATTCATGACATGTGTCATGTCATGATTATGTAGGTGTCATGTCATGATTATGAAGGTGTCATGTCAGTCTTATGCACACCCCTTCAAGTAAAGTATAACCCACATTATTTGCTGTGGTGAAACTGCAGCAATGTACAGGATGTGCACATGAGGTGCTGGCTGTTATTTTATGCTAATAGTGATATGGGATCTCTTACCACTTGCAGCTGAACACGCTACCCTTGATTAGCTTGAACCTTTGGGATCACCTCAATGTGTTCCTTAGCATGGATTTCAAGGGCCTCTATATGGTCCTGTCTGGACAGACGTGAAAGATGAATGTTGGAATGATGGACAGAACCGAATTGTACATGTGCACGGCTACTTTCGTATTTTTCTCACTTGGTGGCTGAAGGATTAAAGCACTTGGCAGTGAAACTGCTGAGGATTACAGGGATTAATACAGGTTTAGAAAACGCTGGCGGAATTAATCTGATCACTGTAAGCACTGAACCCTATTAATTTAAGGCAGATTATTTGGTTGTGGACGGGGACATCGTATGTCATATGGACAACAGTGTTTGCTGAATTGTCAGTATTACAGCCCATAGACTCATCCTGACTGATGCAGGTTAATATATCGTCACCTTCTATGCGTTTTGTGTTGTTGATGTTACATCTACTCACTTCTTCAAGTGTTTTTATGTCACTCTTCTTCTTTCCAAAAAAATTGCCCTGTCACCATTAACTCACCATCATGTCTTTCCAATGCTGTATCACTTCCAGGATACATTTTGAAGAATTTTTCAAGCTTCAAAAAACATGCAAAAGCACCATAATAGTATTATAAAAGTGATCTATTTGGCATTATGTTCCAAGTCTTCTGTGTGAGAAAATGACTAATGTTTATGCCATTAGATACTTATAATCGTACTCTCCAGTAAGCTATTAGCCAGATCATTAAGTATGATGAACACATTTTACAAACCATGTCACAAAAATAATTTCAAATGCAAGTTTATTCCATTTTAAAATATTAACAACATATGCTGTTCAAAATGAAATGTTTTCTGGTTGTGTGATGAACTTCCGCTGTACACCTGTTAAAGGGTTAGTTCACCCAAAAATGAAAATTAGCCCATATATTACTCACCCTCAAGTCATCTTAGGTGTATATGACTTTCTTCTTTCAGATGAATCCAGTCGGAGTTATATTAAAAATGGTCTTTGATCTTTCAAGCTGTTTCATAGCACTCAGCGGGTGTTGCATGCATCAGTCCAAAAGCAGTTAAATAAAATGCACCCATCCATAAAAAAAAAGTGTCTCACACAGCTCCGGGGGGTGAACAAAGGCCTTCTGTAGCGAATCGATGCGTTTTTGTAAGAAAAATATCCATATTCAAAACGTAATAATCACTTTAATCTATCTTGCGCTCACTGTTGTAAAGGGAAGCAGTTCCGAGCGGATGACGTATGGAGGTCAGCTTTGCGCAGGCGGAAGCGCAGGGGAGAGATCAAAACAAAACAACGGTCACTAATTAGAAGCACAAAACGAGGATTTGTAGGATGTGGATATAAGCCAAGAGGAGACTGGTTTTCCTTTGCTAAAGTAAGGAAACTTTGCTTCTTTTGATCCTGTAAACAAACGTTGGTTTTCACGAGACTAATTTTCATTTTTGGGTGAACTAACCCTTTAACTGAGTCTATACATCCCCTAAAATCTCCTTGAGTCCAGCAAAAAAAAAAAGGTAACTGCAAAAATGCTGTATTTGTTTGCAGTTGTAACTTTGTTTGCTAATGCAGTGAAATTCAGACATTTCTAATTTGTGCAAATGCTGGTCACTATATCAAAATATCACGGTATTACTGTTACTATATGATACTTTAATTGTACCATGGTGAACACAAAAGTTCAGTTTTTAAATGATAAAATTATTTCTAAAGCAAAAAATGTTGTCTAACTCCAACTGTGTCTGTCTGAAAATTTATTTGCCCCTGTACCTATTAACTCCTAAATCTATGACACAAATCATAAATCAATATACAAAAACAATAAATTAAGAACACATTCACACATCAGTGATTGTCCTGCAAACTTTTTCTTTTGTGTTTTTGAGAAACTTCATGTACAGCCAGCAACGCTGTCAAAATGTCCACACAGATCCGCAAAAAAAGACTAAAACGCTATATTACGAATACCAGGCAAGTAGTTGGCAATGCCACTTTGTAAAGAAACACTACACACCTGCCGGCATTGACTGAAAACATAATATGCATGCAAACGATGTCACCGTTTTCACAAATTCACGTTTTTGTAGTTTACACAGAAACAATAACAGTATCAATTTAAAATCCTGTTTTTAAAAGTTTGTATTTTCAGGCCCCCAAAAAGACGTTGTCATGTAAATAAATGACCAAACAGCATAAAAAGTATCAATTTCTAGCTGAAAATGGTGTTGCGTAAACACCCTCTTGAGCATTCCTAATGGGGCTCAGCTGGACCAAATGCTTGATTACCAACTAGGGCCTGATTACTGCCAGCCCTGTTCAATTAAATCAACACTTAATACAACTTTGTCAAAAACATAAAGTTGGTTAAAAGGTCTAACACAGTAACACAATATGTCAGATCAAAATTCCATAAATTATTAAATACATCAGTCTGGGAAGGGCTAGAAAGCTATATCAAAGGATTTTGGACTGTAAAGAACCGCAGTGAGAGGAATTACCTCCAAATGGAAATACAAAACTGGCCAACCTTTCAGTATTCCTCCAGGAGCACAGTGACAATTCATCCAGAAAGTCACAAAAGACCCAAGGACAACATCGAAGGAACTGCAGGCCTTTCTTGCATCAGAAAAAGTTCATG